TAGAGTACAGCAGTTCGTGGTCGACTCTATCAAAAGCTTTACGTAAATCAATGAAAATTCCCAGCGGGACTTCTTTCTTTTCGAGTGTGGTATATATTAGTTCTACCATGTGTATGATAGCATCATTTGTGCTTTTATTATTCCTGAATCCAAACTGACAGGGGTTTAATATGTTGTGTGAGACGAGGTAGGAATATATCCGTCTATGAATTAATTTTTCAAAGATTTTAGAGAGCAGTGGTAAGTTAGATATTGGTCTATAGTTATTCAAGTCAGCTTGGTCACCTCATTTATGGATCGGAGTGACCCTCGCTGTTTTGAGGATTGTTGGTAAGGTAGATGATTCAATGGATTTGTTAAAGAGTGTTACAATAATTGGTGACAATACTTGAGAAGCTTTTTTGTACATAAAAGCAGGCAAGTTGTTTATGTCTCCTGCCTTGTTTTTAAGGGTGCTGATGATGAGCGAGACTTCTGGTGGGTTGGTTGGAGCTAGGAATAGTGTATTTGATTAGGTACCTATGAGGTAGTCTGATGGACGGGTATTTGAGCTTGGTAGTTTGTTCGCTAGTTTTTTCCTATGGTGGAGAAGAAAACATCGAGTCTATCTGCTGTTTCAGTTGGTGTGAGTAAGGGTTCATCTGATTTTGTTAATTTGTTTTTGTTTTTGGATAACTTTTTAGTTCCAAGAATTTCAGATAGTTTTTTCCAGGTCTTTTTCATATCACCTTTGATGTTATGTAATCTATTTTCATAATACAATTTTTTAGATCTTATCAGGCTGGTAAGAGCTGACGAGTAACGTTTCGACTGGTCTCTAGTTATTTGACTCATTCTGTACTGTTTTTCATATTTGTGCTTTGTGTTAATGGATTTGAGGATGCTTGGTGTTAGCCAGGGACTATTCAGTCTCTTTGCTATGATCTGTTTAGTTTTTTTGGGGCAGTGTTTGTTGTAGAAGTACAGTGGACCCCCGGTTCGCGATATTAATCCATTCCTGAGAGGTCATCGTAAACCAAAATTATCGGAAAGCGAATCAATTTTCCCCATAAGAAATAATGGAAATCAAATTAATCCGTGCAAGACACACAAAAGCATGAAAAAAAAAACTTTTACCACATGAAATATTAAGTTTAATGCAATAGAATAATTACAATAACAACAATAACAATAGAATAATTGACACTTACCTTTAATGAAGATCTGGTGATGATTGATGGGATGGGAGGAGGGGAGTGTGTTGAACCTATTGTTTAGAAGGGGAATCCCCCTCCATTAGGGCTTGAGGTAGCTTTTCCTCCTGAGTAATGTAGGTCCTGCTTGGCAATTTCTTCCAAAACAGGCCTGTTTTGTCACAATTAAACACTTGTTCAGGTTTCAATCCTTCAGCCTCTATGTGCTCCTTGAATTGATGCACATATTTTTCAGCCGCTTTGTGGTCTGAACTGGCAGCCTCACCATGCCTAATCACACTATGTATGCCACTACGATTCTTAAATCTTTCAAACCAACCTTTGCTGGCCTTAAATTCACTCACATCACCACTAGTTGCAGGCAATTTCTTTACCAAATTGTCATGCAACTGCCTAGCCTTTTCACAAATGATCGCTTGAGAGATGCTATCTCCTGCTATCTGTTTTTCATTTATCCACACCAATAACAGTCTCTCAACATTTTCTAACACTTGCGGTCGCTGTTTCGTAATCACAGTTGCACCTTTTGCAAGAACAGCTTCCTTGATTGCCGTTTTCCTGCTCACTATAGTAGAGATGGTTGATTGGGGTTTACTATACAACCTGACCAGCTCCAATACATGCACTCCACTTTCATACTTTGCAATTATCTCTTTCTTCATTTCAATAGTCATTAGCACCCTTGGTCTCGAAGGGTTGGCACTAGAAGCTTTCTTGGGGCCCATGGTGACTTATTTTGCAGAAACAAGCACCAAAAACAGTGATAATATGGATAATATGGAATGTACCGAATGTATCCTTAGAAGCGCGCACACTGGCTGGCTTGTAAACACTGGACACGTCTTGTACGAATTGTATCGCATACTGGGTTTTGTAACGGGAACCGAGGCAAATTTTTGGTGATATAATGCATTGGTTACCGGATTTATCGGATACCGATAGCATCGCGAACCGGGGGTCCTCTGTAATGGGCTTTTTTTTTTTTAGAAAATTTCTTATACATTCATTCATATCTGCATATGTTTCAAGCTCGTTTTGCCAGTCGATGTTATTCATAGCTGCTATAAAGTTGTTAACAGCTGTCTCGTTATGTAGTCTGAAGATAACTTTAGTAATGTCTTGGGGCAATTTACCTAGATTTGTTATGAAAAAGCTTGGGTAGTGGTCTGTTGTGTTTTCTGTGATTATGCCTGATTTTAAAGGGGATAAGGGGATATCCATGCATTTTTGAATGCATGTTAGACTCCCCAGATGTGTATTGGATGCTTGATGTGATTTGTTTACTCTTGAGCATCGAAAAAATTGAACATTTCTGCTATTTTCAGCTCAATTTGAAGCTATTTTCCATCCTAAAACCAATCAGAATAACCTCTGTATCTGTAATATATCTTCCTTTCTATCAATGAGGCCAAGAAACCATGAGTATGATGATAACCATACAGGAATACACCACAAAGTCGCTGTTTACCACTCACAGCTTATCTGAGTGAGCTGAGCTCATCACGTAGTACTGTGGCTTGGACCTGGGCTTGGACCCTGGCTTGGACCTTGGCTTGGACTTTGGCTTGGACCCTGGCTTGGACCCTGACTTGGACCCTGGCTTGGACCCTGGCTTGGACCCTGGCTTGGACCTCGGCTTGGACCCTGGCTTGGACCTTGTGGCTTCAAAGCCGTAGAACAATAGCACGGACTCTCAAAGGGTTAATTAAGGGTTAATAAAAAAATTTTGAGACCTTACAGTTTATAAATACTATTGCCAGTTATTTCTAGCAAATTACAATGTCATGAATGTTCTCTTAGTTGTGTTCATCTCAGGCATGACTACCATCTACAGTATTTATAACAAAATACACCTACCATCCGACTTACGACCTGCTCGACATACGTCCACTTGACTTACGACCGTGCATCTGGCAGCTGGGCTGGGCCGGCTGAAGCACACCACTGTACAATATTTGACAATACTCGCGGGGGCAATGTGTCATGCCGGCAGCATCAGTTTGAGTAACCCTATCCTATCAGCAGCATCATACTGTATTAACTGTACTAACTGGACAGTAAATTTCACCATGGCCCCTAAGATGAACTCTGAATCTTGCACTGGAGATTGTGGCAAGAAAGGCTCTTACTCTCGAACACTCTTATTTGTTTTCACTGTTGCACATAAACCTGTCTGTATCTGTCTGCCTGTATATCTGTCTGTGTCTGTCTACTAGTGTGTCTTTGTCTACCTGTGTGTGTGTCTTTCTGTCTACCTGTGTCTCTTTCTGTCTACCTGTGTCTGTCTTTCTGTCTACCTGTGTCTGTCTTTATGTCTACCTGTGTGTCTGTCTTTCTGTCTGTCTACCTGTGTGTCTGTCTTTGTCTGCTTGTCTGTCTCAGAGCCACTCATTAAGAGTGTACCTGGTCTTGAAGATGCCATATTAATAATGATAATAACAATAATAATCACTGAGGCACATTAAATGTGTAAAACGTTAATATAGACATTTTGCTTAATCCATCTATGATTTTTTTTTCAAAATTATATAATAAACATGCTACATAACATATAAATTAACAAATATGAGATTTTTTCTGGTCGGCTTGACAGTGAACAGGAGCCGTTCGTGTCCGGGCTGGTAACAACAGCAGCAACAACAACAACAACGTTTGTTTACATAACTCGTGAACATTCTACATTCTCATTCTCTCTCTCATTTATTAATTTAATCTTGTTTACTCACCTCTCACTACATTAAAACTACAGATATTTTAAGGTAAGTAATGAGTGGACACGATTGTTATATTATAGCTTAATAATAATAATATTAAGATTAGTACATATGTATTATTGTAATAATAATGATTATTAATATTATTATTAATTTAGGGCACTGGAGCACAGATCCACTGTATAGCACTTTGTCTGGATTTTTTGGGTTATCCTAGGTAATTTATAATATGTATGATGTCTTACGTGTACCAGTTAGAGAGAGAGAGAGATACAGAGAGAGAGAGATACAGAGAGAGAGATACAAAAGAGAGAGAGTTTCAGAGAGAGAGAGAGATACAGAGAGAAGAGAGAGATACAGAGAGAGAGAGAGAGATTTCAGAGAGAGAGAGAGATACAGAGAGAGAGAGAGATACAGAGAGAGAGAGAGAGATACAGAGAGAGAGATACAAAGAGACAGCCACATTCAGTCAGCCAGTCAGCCAACAAACCCCCCCATCCAGCCACCCATCCAGTCACCCACCCATCCAGCCACCCACCCATCCAGCCACCCACCCACCCACCCACCCCAGCCAACCACAGACCCGGCCACCCAGCCGGATACGTATTACACATGTTCCAGATTGTTTCTCTTTACTTAGGTATAGGTTATACAACATTCTGGCAGGAAAGACACTACCAGTGGTATTCTCCCATTCCACTGTGTTGACAATACATAAAGATAATAGTAATATATGATACTGTATGCGATGTAAAATTTACATTACATATCACTACCATGTATACATTATATACAGTACATAAATAATTAAAATACAACAATAGAAGTAAATTATGGTAAAAAGAATGAAATAATGATTGTACATTACAGTATTATGTAGGTAGTTTATATAGGAAAGTTTTGACATTATGCCCTACCCAATATGTCAGCAATTTTCAAAGGTTCGACTTACGTCCATTTTGACTTACGACCGGTTGGTCGGAACCAAGCTTGGTCGTAAGTCGGATGGTAGATGTATTGTGCAATAAAAAAATACACATTGCAGTGATGCTGGCATTGAGTTGGTGTGCTTGTAAAATTGTTTTATTTTCAGATGTATGACATAGCTAAAAAGTTTGTGTACAATGGTGAGGCATGGGGGCAACATAAATAAGACCTATATATTGGTAATGAAAAATATTTCATTAGGGTCTGCTGTATATTTTTTCTACTTTTGTTTATCAGATACTTGTAAAAGGTGTTGCATGGCAGAAAAGAATGAGCGCCACCGTGGCTAACATATTGGTTGGTGAACGAATTGATTCCTTAACCCTTTCAGGGTCCGTCCCGTAGATCTACGGCTTTACGGTGAGTGTCCAAACCGTAGATCTACGCCATGAGCTCAGCTCACTCTGATAAACTGTGAGTGGTACATTTAGGCCTAGATATGAGAGAATACATCTATGTGGTATGTGAGCACCACATAAAACAGATCCTGCAGCACACTGTGTATAATGAGAGAAAAAAACTGAAATCATGATTTTTCGATTAAAACAGCAACTTTGCAGCGTTTTTTCGTATGTTTTTTTATAGTTGTATTTGCGATTTCTTGGTCTCATTTGATAGTATGGAAGACATATTACAGAAATAGATATGATTTTGATTGGTTTAGCAACGGAAATGCCCTTGAAACTGAGCTCAAAGTAGCGAAAATGTTAAATTTTTGCCGATATTCAAGAGTAAACAAACGACCTCACACATCTAATACACATCAGCTGGTGGGTCTAATATACATTCACAAATATGGTGATGATATTTATACAATTATTACAGTATTGCATAACAGTAAATCTTCTATTTTTTGGTGTGAATAAAATTCATTATGTGAATAAAAAATAAAAAAGGAATTTATTTGTAAACCCTCAAAACAAAATAATAAACCAAGGAAATGTTATTTTAAAGTGCCGGGGAATTTGCCTACTTTGGGTTTTTTTTTGGGAAACCCTTTTTAAAAATTTGGGAAACGTTTTTTTTGAACTTTGTTTTTAATTTTGGCCAAATTAACAATTTTCCGGAAATCATTTTATTTTGAAGTTAAAAAACATTGGACTTGGCGTTTTCCCTTGGCTAAATCAAATTAGAATAGAATAATACTAGTGAAATAGCAAAGGTTTTTTTGGTTGTTTGGGAAAAATAATGAAATTTGGGCCAAAAAGGGGAGTCAAAGTGGGCCCAAAATCGCCGTCCCGTAAATATCGCTGACAAATAAAAATTTGCAGAGCAAAATTTCGTAAATTTTTTTCCACCAAAAAAAATTTGGGATTTTTTTGGTTTTTTTTCCCTTTTAAAAAAAAAACAATTCTCAAACGATTTATAAGAAAAAATAACAAATTTTTTTTTAAAAATTTTCCTGGACACGGGTGGGGAAAACTCCAGTTTTGGGCCTTGGCCCCTTTAAAAGGGGTTTAAAAGTTTTGTCTGCTTTTAGGAATGTAAATTTATTGTTTATTTGCATCTGCAACCCCAGGCTCGTCCCAAAACAGTATGGCTTTTTAAACCCCCCTTTCGGGGTCAAACGGCCTCTCAGAGATTTTGTTTCCGGGCCCCCCCCAAATTTAAAAAAAAAAAATTTTTTTTTCTTATGAAAAATGGGAGAATTTTTTTCCCGATCATAATGAAACCAAAAGTTAAAAATTTGAGGGAAAATTTACGGAATTTTTGCCTAAAACAAAGGGTTAGGGGTTTCCAAAACAATGTTTACCCCATCGGTGATTTTTGGGCCACTTTGAGCCCTATTTTGGGCCCAAAATTCCAGTGTACTAGTCGAAAAAAAACATGACTTTTTCCACTAAAATCGTTTTTTTTCCTATCAAAGGGATACAAAAAACCCCCCTTTTCCCAATTTCAACTATCCAATACACGGGTTTCAGAATTTAGCAATTTTCCAATTTCATAAAAATTTTCAAAAAATATAAATTTCCCCAAATAGGCCCAGAATAAACAAGAAAAAAACCCCGGGCGCTAAATAACATTTTTCTGTTTTTTATTTTTATGTCCCCACGCCCCTCTTACATTCTTTTGCTTTTAAATTTAAATTTTTTAAATTCTCGAAAAAAACAAAGATTTTCCCGGGGTTATGCAGACAAATTCATTATTTGTAAAAAGGGTTAAAAAATAATATGGGGCTCACTTTTAAAAGAATATTAGACTCACCATTTAAATGTGTTTTGGGAAAACGCTTAGCATGATTTGTTTATTTTTGGGAACTTTGGAAAAAAATCGAACATTTCGCCCCCTTTGAGCTCAATTTAAAGGTACTTTTCTTTGTAAAAAAAAGTAAAAAATTATCTCAATTTCGAAATATGTCCCCAAATTCTTAAAATAAACCCAAAAAAAAAAAAATTTAAAAAATAAATCCCAAAAAAAAAAATTACAGTGAAAAGGGTCGCTGTTTTAATCCAAAAACAGGGTAAAAAGTTTTTTTTTCTCTTTAAACCAATGTGTGCTGCGGATTTTTTTTAATGTGCCCACTGACCACTTAGCCCCAAATTCTTTAAATTAATGGGGCCTCCAGTTTTCTTTTTCCGCTAAAATTTAAAGGGCGCTAAAATTTGGGGCTTTACTAGTAATCAAAAACCCGGGTGCATAACCTTACTATTTCGTTCGAAACCCAAAAAGGGGTTTAAACCCCTTTTAAAGGCCCAAAAACGTGTACCCCCTACCACCCGTTTATAAAACCGGGTTGGGTTTGAAAAAACCGGTCTTTAAGTAAAACATTACTACTGAATATCGCAAAACTTTTTTCAGTGACTTTTTTTTATTGTTTTATTTTGGTATTTAATTTTTTTATTTCCCTTTTTATGCTTTTTAGTACTTTTTTTTTATACTTTTAAGGTTTAGGATAAACACTGGTCAACACAAATAGTTGTTTTTTTTCCCCCAGAAATTTGGCAAAAAAAAACAAGGGTTTTAAAAACGAGTGGTCGAAAAGCCCGGATGGTAGTTTGGGGTGTGTGGTGTGTGTGTGTGTGTATATTTTAAATATTTAAATATATATTATTTTATAATAATAAATATATATATATATCCTATATATATAAAAATATATATATATATATATATAATTATTTTATTATTTTTAAAAATTTTTATATATATATATATTTATATATTATATATTATATAATATAAAATTATATATTTATATATATAATATATATATATATTTATATATATATATATAATATATAAATAATTTTGGGCCCCCCCAACAAAACGATCCCCCTCCCAATGCGACCAATTATTTTTAATTTAATTTATGTAAGTGCGTTTGTACGTGTATTTTTGGGGGGTTTTAAAAAATGGACAAATTACTTCCCCAATATTCCTTTTGGGAAAAAATTCAGTCAGAAAGGCACCTGAAACATACTTTGGAATGAAAAAATATAAATTAAACCCGGGGGGGCCACTGTATTTTAATGCAGGGGGACCCCCCCCCAAAAGCGATTTTAAACCCTTTCGGGGTCCGCCCCCTAGATCTACGGCTTTACGTTAGGGCCAAACCGTAGATTTTTTTACCCAATGAGCTCAGTTTCCCTCTGATAAATGTGAGGGGTACATTTGGGCCAGATATGAGAGAAAAACTTTAAGTTGGTTTGGGTGCACCACAAAAAAAACAGATCCGCAGCACACTGTGTATAATGAAAAAAAAAAAAATAAAAATTCATGTTTTTTTTCGTTTAAAAAAAAAAAAAAAAAAGAAAAAAACCTTTGCGTGTTTTTTCGATGTTTTTTATAGTTTTTTTTTGCGTTTTCTTGGTCCCCATTTGATAAAAAGGGAAAGGGACATTTTAACAGAAATAGGGGAGATTTTGTTTGGGTTTTTCATAAAATGGCTTTGAAAACTGACCAAAAAGTAGGGGAAATTTTAAAATTTTTTCCCAAAATTTTTCCCAAGAGAAAACAAACGCCCTCAAACATCAATACACGTCAGCGGTGGGCTAATTTTCTTTTCCAAATAAGGGTGTTTGATATTTTCAATTAAAAACGTATTGCATAAGAGTAAATCTTCAAAATTTTTTGGTGGGGAAAAAAAATTCATTATGTGAATAAAAAATCAAAATGGAATTTTTTTGGAAAAACCCTAAAAACAAAAACAAATAAAACGAGGAAATGTTATTTTAAGGGGGCCGGGAAAATTGCCTACATTTTTTTCATTCTGGCCCCTGTTTTAAAATTTGGAATTTTTTAAATTTTTGTTTTAAAATTTGGGCCAAATTAAAAATTTTCCGACCCACTTTATTTTGTGTTAAAAACATTTATTTGGGGCGATTTTTGTCTCAATCGATAGATAAAATAAACTAGGGGAAATAGCTAAAAATTTTGGTTTTTGGAATAATGTAATTGGCCTAAAATGGGAGTCAAAGTGGGAAAAAATTTCGCCGTTTCGTAAATATCACTGACATAAAAAATTCGCGAGAGCATAATTTCGTAAATTTTTCCCAAAAATTTTTCGTATTTTTTGGGTTTTTATTCCCTTCACAAAAAGATTCTCACGATTTCATAAGAAAAAATAACAAATTTTTTTTTTTTGGAAAATTTTTTGGAAAACGGTGCGTGACTCCGTTTTTGGGCCCTTGGCCCCTTTGAAAGGGTTAACCCCGGGCAAGAGGGCTCATGGTTAAAAAACCCCCCCCCAAAAGATCGGTATGCGAATGAATTGAAAAGGGGGGAACTGCCTTGTATGGGCCAACGGGCCCTGCTGCAGTTTTCCTTCCTTTTTTTTTATGTTTTTTGTTCTTATAAGAAATAATGGAAATCAAATTAAATCCAGCAAAAAAACCCCCAAAAAAATATAAAAAAAAAAAATTTTACCCATAAAATTTAAAACATTTCCACACACAAAGAGAAGGATACAGCAAAATATAAGTAGAAACATGCACAATATAATTTGTGATGAACTCCCTTAAAAAATTTGAAGAATAAATGCATTTTAACCTTTTAAATTGAAGAATGCGGGCAAGGGCTGATGAGACCTGTGTCCGGGGAGTGCCTTTTCCCCCTGATTTATGTGGGGTTCCTGTTTGGCATTTTCTTCCAGAACAGGCCAAAAATCACACTGTGTATGCCATTGGATTTTTTAAATCCC